GGGATCCATTTCAATAGTCCCTGGTTGGTCATCTTTTGACGGATAGCTTTTTGTAAAGTTCTCACTTCATGCGGTCGGCGTAGGCCAGGACTTGCTGGAAATGTTGTGCCACACTGCATGTGATGCCGTTTGCACAAATCTCTCTGAATGATGCTCGGAATATCCACTGAGTCCAATCCTATTTTTGTTATGTCTCTATCGATAGTCTCTAGCTACAGTCTAAGTAAAGCCCTCTCGATGCGCAGGGCCCAACTATCTGTATATCTTCTTGACGTGTGTTCTTATTCAGAAGCTTTCCTAACTTAAATTGTCTTACTAAAGAACAATTCACGATTTTTTCTACCATTATTTTACATTTTGTGTGTTGCAATGCGGAATATTAAAGTATATATTTGCCCATAAGTTATTCCTATTATTACTCTTCAGTGGTTATTCCAATTAATATTCTGAGCGTTTTCCATGTTAAGGTTTATGTATCATTAGACCTCCTTTGCCAGTACCAAAATATTATAATAGGGGTTTTCCCCTTTTTTTCTGGCAACAAAACTGAAACCTTTTTACAAGGATTCATGTCTGCATTAACCACAATACCTGCAGCCAAAATGCAAACAAAAATATACTATGATAATATATGCATTCTAGATTCACAAGATAATCACTCAGCCATTTCAATGCTAAATTATATGCTAATTCCTTTGTCAAGGCGCTTTGTTTCTTCTTACACAGCTTAAAGGTCGAGATCTGAGCGTGGCTTTTTTCACTCCAGCGCTGTCCTCCAGACAGTCTCGTCCCTTCACCTGATGAAGGCCGCTTGTGTTGTGGCCGAAACGTCGTGATTTTTGTTATTTTATTTTTTACCTACGTGACTTTACCCAATAGAACCAAAGAGTATAAAATATGCATTGTCTAGATTTAAAGCTTTCGTGACTGCAAGGATCCATACTCTTTGGTTCTATTGGGTAAAGTTACGTAGGTAAAAAATAAAATAACAAAAATCACGACGTTTTGGCCACAACACAAGCGGCCTTCATCAGGTGATGGGACGAGACTGTCTGGAGGACAGCGCTGGAGTGAAAAAAGCCACGCTCAGATCACGACCTTTAAGCTGTGTGAGAAGAAACAAAGCGCCTTGACAAAGGAATTAGCATATAATTGACCAGTCACAAGCTAATCACTCAGCCATTTCAATGCTAAATGATATGCTAATTCCTTTGTCAAGGCGCTTTGTTTCTTCTCACACAGCTTAAAGGTCGTGATCTGAGCGTGGCTTTTTTCACTCCAGCGCTGTCCTCCAGACAGTTTCGTCCCTTCACCTGATGAAGGCCGCTTGTGTTGTGGCCGAAACGTCGTGATTGTTGTTATTTTATTTTTTACCTACGTGACTTTACCCAATAGAACCAAAGAGTATATATGCATTGTCCTTGAAACTGATTGGTCCAGACCAAGCCGTCCCTTGCATATATTATCATAGTATGTTTTTGTTTGCATTTTGACTGCAAATATTGTGGTTAATGCAGACATGAATCCTTGTAAAAAGGTTTCAGTTTTGTTGCTAGAAAAAAAGTGGAAAACCCCTGTTATGAAGGTTTATGTACTTTTAATGTAAAAATTAATATCGTTGCCCATGTTAATATCCACATTACTGTGAACGTATTACAATATTGATACTGGTTGTCGCATGAATAATGATTGTTTCGGTTTTAGCAGCGTTGCATTGGCCTAATGCAGTTGTATTCCAATCGGAAGCGGCTCAGGCTGCTGTTGTGTCAGGTAAATTATCAAAATGTAACAAAACCCCAAAACAAGCCATCTCTCTCAGCGAAGCAGAAAATCATTTCCTTTATTCAACAGCTTTGAAAGAAGGTGAAAACCCCGCTTTATAGATACAAACGTAGTGGTCAATTACAGAGGAGGGGATGTATTTTTTTCGCTTTATATTTAATGTGTAAACTGATGGAGAGGCGCTCGCTGCAGCTTTAATTTCTCGCTCAAAGGTGAGCGGGAAATTAAAGCTGCAGGAGTCCACTCCGCAACGGCTTACAATGCGCTCTGCTGCAGTCCCCCCCCTCCCCCACAATAATAATAATTTTACCAATAAAAATAGTGATAGCAATTACAACACCAATAAGTGTGACGGAGGCGATTGCTGTGAGCCGTAAGTCTCGGCATTGTTTCCCCACTTTATTTATGCGTTGTATGTGATGCCCTCCCGTTCGCTCGTTATATTTTGAGTAGAGTCCATTTTTGAAATAACCGCAAACACGGGGTGGCTTGAGAATCCAGATTAATTATTCAAACCCACTTAGACGAGTAGATGTGTAATTATCATTACTGTCAAATCGTTAGCGTGCTTTTCACGTGTGATGAATTTTAAAAGAGAAAAATAACATTGGCGTGTGTGTCTATTCATGCATGTGTGGTAAGGTATTGCGTATCATGTATAATGACCGACAATCACATCCTAAACTGGTGTCTATCTCCATCCATTATTGCTCCCCTGAAGTAAGGTTACCACATATATGGGAGGCTTAACTGGGACAAGTCGTGGTGAAGTTGACAGCTCCTGCCTCTGTTAGCCACACCATCTTAAAAATAACCACGCCTATTCTAACACTAGCCCTGCCCACAGTGGCTTCCTCTGGTTAACATTGGCTCCCACCCACTGCTCAGGTAGCCCTACCCTTTGTCCATATCATGAGTCGAGCATCTAGCCAGACATTTTAAAAGCAAAACAAAATTAAAATTTTCACAAAAGCAGGGGACAGCTTTTCTGAAACTGGGAAATTTGGTAGCCTTACCCTGAAGGCATACAGGCTGTGCCATCTTGTGCTGAAAACAAAAAAGTGGTCAGATTACATGATGCCACGCACATTATTTGGTGAGTATTTCTCTCCAGAATTGGGACTCGCTTCCATAATTAACTGCTTTATCAACGGAAGACAAGGGGATATGTGTGGTATTTAGTGGGCTTATATGTGTGCATAATACCAGTGGGACATTGTTTAGTGTGCTGTGCTGTGATTTCATATGTCGGCTTCTTTCAGGACCAATGTTGTGATTCGCAATTGATTTATTTTGGGTCAAATCCTGTGGGTTTAATGTTAGAGCTATGTAACGTCCACCCTCCTTCACAGCCAAAACACATCAAGCTGTCATGAAAAATACACCTACCCAAAATAATTAAGAATCAATGTTTTAGGATGATAAGAATAACAATACTTGGATTTATATTCCACCCATTACCTAACACAATATATCCCAGAACACAGTTATTAGCCTAGGGGACCTCTTATTGGCAGCTTGCCCCTTGCAGCACCCAATTAACAGTCTGTTAAGACTCTAAGGGGGATATTTGTTTTTATATATCAATGGGTTGTGAAGTGTACAAGAGATGGCAGGACAGAACATGGATTATAAAATAGTTCTGTGCTGATCTCTGAGTGTTATCTCCTCATATGTCTGTATTTTCTCTGGGTACTCTTTCTGTTACACGATACCTATTAATGGCACTGACCAAACATTCAAACTTAAGATTATCCTGAAAAACTATGAAGATTCATTGGAGCTTTCTTGGATAAACGGCATTATTATACATGATTTATGGATGTTATGTGTGTCTTTGTGTGGGGAGTGGTGGTGTAGCGGTTAGCACGCTTCGCTACGAACCTGGCGACCCGGGTTTGATTCCCGCTCACGGCAAACACCAGTGGTGACGATTATCAGAACCGGTCCTGGGCCTCCCCTAGGTCGACTCAGCCTTAAATGAGTAGCTGGTGCGGTGTGTAAACATCGCCACTGGGGAGACAAAGGCGGCCGGGCGTGGTGTTGGTCACCCACCCCCTCATGTCCCGTGCCGGCCTTTATAGGTGCTTGCTAACAGCACTTGCCCCTACAGTCTGTTAAGGCTATAGGGGGATCTTTGATATTTGCTCTTTGTCTCTGTGTGTGATTGAATTAATTGGCTGTGTGAGTGCGCGTGCATTAATTGATTTGTGTGTGGGTGCTATTCGTCAAAGTCAGTTAACCCATAACCCTGGGCCTATCCCACGGCCTCTTGCCATTGGGCACAAAGTGCACCTTGCCTGGCACAAGCACCATGGTGATGTGATCGCCGTTTAGTGTTAAACGGTGGTGATTGTTGTTGTGGATGCATTCAAAGATTGTGTCAATGGGTGTGTTGCATATTTATATGTGGGTGTATTGAGGAGAGGTGGTACAATGGATATAGCGCACTAAATTATGAACCTGGCAACGTAAGTTTGATTCTAGATTTGAAGCTTTCGTGACTGCAAGGATCCATACTCTTTGGTTCTATTCGGTAAAGTCACGTAGGTAAAAACAATAAAAATAAAAATAAAATCACGTTTCGGCCACAACACAAGTGGCCTTCATCAGGTGAAGGGACCGGACTGTTCAGAGGACAGCGTTGGAGTAAAATCAGCCAAGCCCAGGTCGCGTCCTTTAAGCTGTGTGGGAGGAAACAAAGGCGCCTTGACAAAGGAATTAGCATAAAAATGAGCATGATGTACGTAGGAGGTACATGATGGACCATGATGGACCAGGCGCGGGGGGGACCATGATGGACCAGGCGCTGGGCGAGGAGAGTTTACATAATGTTGTTGTGAAGGGAAATGAGCAGCTGTGAAAGTTTGGGATATCACTACTTGAAAAAATATACTGTAGCATTGAAAATTAGTTTAATGTTTGGTTTGATTTAGAACATCAATCATTGGAAGATGCAATGGGCAATTATTTTTTGTCTCACAAATAGAAGAGGTGGATTCCACATTTGCTGGACCGCCTTCTCCTGGAAAGCCAGTGTATGTCACCTCCTTGACGCCCACTGGAAAGGAACTACATAGCATATTTGCGATACGCCAACTCTCACTGCATCCGCAGTGCTGGATTACAAGCATGGAAAGCCACCACCCGCTTGGCAAAGCTGCTTTAGCAGAGGATAGTTAACAGCTGGTATGTCTCTGTGTGCACTTGTTTTCAAGCATGAAACACACCAAGGTGGCACAGCGGCCTGCTGAACCAGCAGAGGGACCTGGGGGCTGCAAGAGCTGCCCTGTGGTGCGGCCATCACCGGTGTGCGGCACGGATGGACACACCTACTCCTCGCAGGTGGTGCTACATTCCTATGTGCACACGCACGCACGGCCATACAATGCCAACATGTAAATGCAACATCACAGGCTTACACTCAATCTCTAATTTCCGCCGAGTCGGTCTGTCTATTTGGGTCAACATGCCAGAAAATATTTCTGCCTCTGGCACACCACATCAAGTATACCTCTTGTAATCGCTATGGCTACGAGTCGCCTAGTCACCAGCTACTCATTCAAGGCTGAGTTTATCCGGGCGAGGCCATAGCCATTTTAATGCAAAATTTTCTCTTTGTTTTTTTCGGTAAAGTCACGTAGACTTTACTGAAAGAAACAAAAAAAATTGAGGCCATAGCCAGTTCAGATATCACTCATCACCCATGTGTCGTGTCTCAAAATTACTGACATTGACACGGAGTAACAGGTAACCTGCTTACACTTTATTAATCACTCTCACACCCATTATAGGCACTCCTGTGACTGCCTTCCACTGTCACCACACACTGCTTCTCCTACTACCCGCTCTCATCTACTCCACACCTCACCTCCTATGCACCGCACCTACTCTCTCCTAACCTACTCTCTCCTATCTCGCCGCTGCCCTCTCCTACGCTGCCCCATACCAACTCACCCGTCTGTCCCGGGTGGGCGGTTCAGCCAACACCTGCCCGGCGACGGCATGAGGGGCGAGGTCCCATTGATGGCTCGAGCAGCAGCGATGGGATGTCTTCTCTCTTGGTCCCTGAACAACTGTCTCTGCTCATGCACACTTCTGCTTATATACCCCTCCTCATTCCGAGTCCTCACGTGCTCCCCACTTAAGCTGTCACCTCCACGGCGCCTCTCACACTCATTAATCCCTAATCATCGCCCCCATCTCCCGTTTCTCCGGCACCAACCTCCTGCCCCAGCGCGCATACCTGCTCGTCCTCGATTGCACCTGCTTCTCCCCTTAATTACTGCCGGCTCTCCGGAGCCAACCTTATGCTCCAATGCGCACACCTGCTCGTCCTCAATTGCACATGCTCAACTGCGCGCACTGCGTACATCTCTACTCTACACATGTTTAGCCGTGGTCGGAAATTGAACGCAGTTCACCAAGTTCGTAGTGCAGTAGGCTAATCACTCTGTGTACATACGCAACAACTACAACCGCCATTCACCACTAAATGGCGGTGACATCACCACAGCACTTGTGCCATACTAGGTGCATTTTGAGGCCACGTGAAATGTTGAAGGCCCACTGCCAGGAGGTCATGGAACAGACCCAGGTGCCATGGGTTAACTACCTGAGATTACTGGCAGATGCACCAACTGTGCTCACCACTGTGCCAACTCTCTGCGTTTTAGCCGCCGAGCACTCTACTCGCTGTTGTGAGCATCGCTCCTCTGCCCTCCGTTATTGCTAGAGGGCAACTGCTTCCAACTTCTTAGCAGCATCCTTCACGAACCTCCTCCACAGAGGCCACTCTTGACACTGCTGGTACATGTCATCGGCAGTCCAATCAACTCCACATACTTCTGTACCACATCAGTCCATCTCTTCTCTAGCCCATGCCAAGCCCATTTAGCCCCATCTATCGGCTGAACAGAAGCTTCTTGGGCATGCAGTGGCTGCACATGCAGGCTACATGAATCAGCCAACGCAGCCTCGCTTGACGGAGGAGCTCACTGATGGGACTGTGTCCAGATCTTTCAAGCATTTGTGAACTCCTCACACAATCCAGTCTGGTTAAACCCAGGCTAGGCTGATTTTTTCAAGCCACATTAGATGTTTCTTTTGAGGGCTCCACGTTTTGCAAGCAGAAACAAGAGAGTACATTACTGTGGCCGAGAAGACACGGAGCTTTGTATGGAGCAACAGGCCAGGTAACCTCCACACAGCGTTACGCAGCCGGTTAAAATGTAATGCCGCTCGACTGATTTGGGATGAGACCTTGGCTACCAAACCGGAGCTGGTCATAAGGACACTGCCCAAGTACACAAACTTCTCTACTCTCTCCATGATGGCCCCATCATTCATGGGGAGTTGAGGCAAGGGAGTTTTTGATGACATAAAATGTCCAGGAAGGTGCTTTGTTTTTGTGAGGCTGATGGTGGTAAGGCCCCATTTTATTTATACACACACATTTAATACATACGCAAACACACACTCAAAACACAACCACACATTTCACACAATAATATAGCACTGCCCCTTGAGTGCCGCACTTCCGATTAGCACAGTTGGCTATGTATGGTGCGAAAGAAGTTTAGCATACGGTAACGATGGGGTAGGCAACCTATGCCTGTCTGCCGATGTCTAGCCACCTCACCAGAAACATCTCACCACTCACCAGGTACTTATTTCTCATTTTAAGCTGTCAACTTATGGAAGCCCATGCCAGGCACAATATCTCGTTGTCACGTTCGGTAGCGACTAACAATTGAGGTTGGGTTCTGGAAATTGCAGAGCCGGGTGCCTAACATTATACCATTGAAACGACCACTACCATTCCCACTAAGAGGCACAGGTGTCCAATTTAGTCATAGTTGCCGTTGTGGCATGTTATGTTAGTTAGTGCCCATTAAGACTGGCATAGCGTACGATGTGGTGGTGTGGCAAGAACAAAGTTGTGTTTTCCCTGTGCTAATGTTAACACATTGGCTGAAGATGCCCATTTGAGGCTGAATCGACTCAAGAGAGGCCCATGACAGTTTCAGATATCACGTACAACTGACGTCATTAGTGGCCAGGAATCAAACTCAGGGAGGTGGGTTCGTAGTGCAGTGCGCAAGTAACTTTTATATCACCCTCATATAACGACAAAGACATGCATACGTTCTCTGTATCGCCATCGAGACTGATTGTTAGCAAGCACCTACTACATACATACATGTTAGCAAGGACTAACAAAACACATACAGTACATGTAAGCAAGCACTTACTACACACATACATGTGTAGTGCGTGTGGTGTGCAGTGCACGCACTCAGTCGGAGACGAGGTAGTTGCAGGAGGCACCGTCTCTCTCTTTATTCTCCATTCACACCAACTGTGGCCTCCTCTCTCTCTCGCAACCACGCTGCCATACGACCTGGCCTAGACACAACCCTATCCACGTTGCACCGACGGCATCGACTGAGACAGCCAACTACTGTGTCTGGTCGCGCAATGATCAGGCGAAGGCGGCAGCGACGAAGGAGGCAACGACAGCAACGACGAGACGAGTCCACTCCCAGAACCGGCAGCCTGGAGCTCTCGCTCTCCGCTACTTATATTCTATCAGGTCTTCCGTGAATCTTACCCCAGTTCCTCCGCCCTGCCGGTACACCCGTGTATATGCTCCATGGCGTGTGCACTAACTGTACACTGCAGTTGCCGCTGCTGGACAGCAGTTGTGGCACTGCACGTGTAGTGACTTCACTTGGAGACACTAAGAGTTGGAGGCACTTCTTTAATTTAACGAGCACCCTCGGCACAATACACACCCTACACTGGTACACACTCTTCTGTCGCTCGCTTATAAACAACTCTACGTGGGTTGCTAGCCTATACACAACACTAACCATCTAACACTGACGGCGCTGATCCGAGATAGCCAACAACCGTGTAGCAGCACAATATCGAGTGAAGATGACAGCAACCATGGCGATGAGACGACAGCGATTATGGCGGTGATCTTCAACAGCACAACGCTGATCCCACTCCATACGACAGCCCCCAGCTCTCACTCAGGGCCCCCTTTTATACTCCCAGCATGGCCTTGCTCTGCCCTGGCCACACCCTCTCTCTAGAACCTACCAGCAGGTTCCCGGGCTTCCCATGCGCCCCTTCTGTGACCTTACCCCCAGATATCCCCCTCTGGTGTATCACCTGGCCCGCTGACGTAAGGGTTACTGTAAGCCGCAGATCCTCTTCGCCGCCAGCAGCCAGCGCTATGCTGCTACATTACTTATTCTATGCCACTACACATGTAAGGAAGCACCTACTACACACATACATATATACAAAAGCACACACAATTATAGCAAAAGACAAACATCTCCTTTTATTAATAACATCACTTGTATAACACTTCCGCGATTTATCGCCACCAAAAGTGGTGTCACTTAGTATTGGGTGGCATCACAATTGTTAACACTAAGACATTTTTAAGCAATACACAATTTGAATGGTCCGAAAAGTTGAAAATTACAATAAATATTTAAAATTGCCTTTCAAAATCGAAATCTCTGAAATTATTATATCCACAACTCATCCCTAGAATGTACACACATGCATATACAAATATCCCTTGCTTTAGTCTTTAACAAGCTGTGAGGACAAGTGCTGTTAGCGAGCACTTATGACACATAAGGCGATGGTGTGGCCAACACCATGCTTGGTGGTCTTTGTCTCCCAGCGCTGATGTTCATACACCGTACCAGGTACTCAATTGAGGCTGTGACGACCAAGGGCGGACCGTTTCAGATAATGGCACCAATATTGGTCATGAGCAGGAATCAAACTCGGGTCACCAGGTTCGTAGCACAATAGGCTAATCACTGCACCACCGTTCCTACACACACACACCCAGACACAAATGGATACATGTTTTCCTGCACACAACAAACACACATGGTAAACACTGCACTGTGCAAAGTGGCATCGGTGTCCTTCCATTCGCAAATTTGACAAACGACAATGAATACAAACGTGTCTGGGTATCCATGCATTAAGCAACCAACACACAACCTATTGCACAAACACACGTGCTATCTCTGCAGAACACATGCACGCCAAAATTATAATTAAAATACCATACTTTACAAAACAAACCCGCCATCATTTGCTCTGTGCTTTCAAGTACAAACCATTAAATAATTTGCTTTATGCAGGATAGCAAAGCAAACAATATGGTTTGTGGCAAAGTTGTCATAAATATTTATTACAATTTTTAGCAACTTTCATTTTAAAAGAGGGTGCTGTTTTTTTTTGTTAAAATGGAACAATCACATACTTCCAGTGTGATAAGCTCATGAATTTGCTAAAACATT